TTTTTGAGACATGGTTTCTCTGTGTAATAGCTCTTGTTGTCCTGGAGCTCACTTTGTAGACTAGGCTGGCCTCAAGCTCACAGACTCTCCTTCCTCAGCCTCCTGGGTGCTGGGATTAGCACCAAACAGCTTTTCAATTCATAGATCACTAGGCTACTGTTTGGCTCTACATACTTTCCTTGAGAAGGTATGCATAATTTACCCTGTCTTCTAGCTGTTGTCTTACAGTGTATACTTTTATGGCACCCTGTGGGTTTTTTTTTTTTTAATCTTTCTTGGTTGTGTACATACATGGTGGAGATATAGCTAAGACTGAAGAGCTGACATGGCTAGCTTTCTTTGAAACAACACAATAAGAAGAGTACTGTTCTCTTATAGGGCTGGGTACTCTTATAGACAATGTGCTATTTTTTTCTTGTTTTGTTTTGTTGAGACAGGGTTTCTCTGTGTAACAGCCCTAGCTGTCCTGGAACTAGCTCTGTGGACCAGGTTGGCCTTGAACTCACAAAGACCCACCTGCATCTGACTCCCTAGTGCTGAAGTGCGTGTCACCACCACCCAGCTACAGTGTATTATTCTTATAGGGACAGTGATGTCATTTGTAAGGTGATAATTTTTCAAATATTACTACCAGAATCTGAGAGTTCTGAATCAGACACAGCAACTGCTTGTTAGAAATTTTACTTTTATTTCTGCTCTTTGAGCTGTTGCAAATTATTCGGGAAAAATTAATTCAGAGTATTTATTAACCAAAACAAACAAAACCACTGTGGGCTTATGAGGTGGTTGTGGGCAAAGGTGCCAACTGCCACATCTGATGACCCTGGGGACCCACATGGTGGAAGAAGAGAACTGACTCAAATTCCTTTTGACCTCCACCAGGTGCTGTGGCTTAGCTGACACTCCTATAAATAGATAAATAAACAAAGTTTCTTAAAAGCTACAGGCAGGCTAAAATAAGACCAACTCCTATTTAATCTAATACAGTCTATGTGCTCCGGATTCAACAGACACAAATTATACCAATTTGCATATCCATAAACAAAACTCTAAGACAAGCTTACAAAAGCAAACAGCATACTATACTCTGCGATGTCTATCTAAACTTCAGGATTAACAATTCTGTAACAGTCATTTCACTCTAAGCTTTGTTTTCTATTTCATTAGAAAAATCTAAAATTCTAAATAACATTTTCTGTGAGCAAATAAAATTTTTCTCTCTAAATTTACTGAAAGAGGCCAGAGAGTTGGCTCAGTGGTTAATGGTGCTTTTTGTTGTTGTGAAAGACCCGGGTTCGATTCCCAGCAACCACATGGAAGCTCACTGCCTCCTCAGGCAATAAGCACACATATGGTGCACAGATGCAGACACATAAAATAATAAAAACAAATCTAAAATAAAATAAATGTATTCAAAGATAGTTTGTTTTTTCTTAGCAAACACAGGATGTTTCTTCTAAAACATTTCATAGGAACTCTGCATTACAAAACAGGTGCAGAAGCAATCCCTACTCTGCATACTCCAGTCTCTTGGTATGGCCTTTCTAGGGTGCCTGCACACCACCTCTGACCAGCAGAAAGCAGGGAAATGCATCTGCTCCCCTGGTTTCATGAGCATTCTCTTGGCTGCAGTTCCGAGACACGTTTATATTTGCTGTACTAAGCACGTACTTCATACTCAAGAGTTCTCGTGTGTATCAAAGGAGCACAAATCTCTTCTGGCTTCATCAGACCTTTAAATCAAAGCTTTCATTATTGAGTTGCACATAATTCTATCCACATACAGAATTGAGCTCAATGAGTAAAAATGTAACAGACAGTTTGTGGCCTAGGCTATACCAAAAATGTTTACATAGCAATCAAAATTTAGTGCCAAATAAATTAGTTTGCCTAATTAGACCTGGCACTATGTCACAGAACACTAGTAAGTAAGCCTGTGAAACTAAGAAGTATAGGCAGGCTGGCAGTTTGACATATTGACAGATAAAGTCTGTTATTTTTATTTTTTTATACTGGCAACTGGACTCAGGATTTGAACAACTGGCAAAAACTCTTATCAACTGAACTACAACACACATTCTCTCTCTCTCTCTCTCTCTCTCTCTCTCTCTCTCTTTCTCTCTCTCTCTCTCACACACACACACACTTTTAAGAGAGGGATGAGTGAGACTGGTCATGACTTCTAATCCTCTTAGTTTGTCTTGAGTGCCGGGATTACATGTATAAACCACCATGCCCAGATTAAAATCTTTATTGTTGTATGTTATATCACAAATCTAGTCAATGTAACAGAAAACATTGAACCAAGACTTCATAATCTAGTACATACTATGAAAATGTACTAGTTAACCTTAAAAAAAACAGAATTAGAAAATAGAAAAGACATCTTTAAGTTAATGGCCAGGCTAGCTACAATCAATACTAAATAGACATCAGGCTGGGAAGCAGAAATCTTAAAAGACTTTTAACAAGCTGGTTAATAGGGCTCTCCCCTCCAACTGCTTGGGGTTGAACCCAGAGCCTCCTGAATGCTAGGCAAATGCTCTGTCACTAAATTACAGCTTAAACCAAGCGATGGTGGTACACGCCTTAATCCCAGCACTCGGGAGGCCAAGGCAGGCAGATCTCTGTGAGTTTGAGACCAGCCTGGTCTACAGAGCTAGTTCCAAAAAAAAAAAAACAAAACAAAACAAAAACAAAAACAAAAACTAAGTTACAGCTTAGTGTGGCATTGACCTAAGACAAAATAATGCCAGCATCCATTAGAACATCTGGATTTAACGGTCTGAGGAAAGTCATGACAATGTCTCAATCAGCCATAGCCAAGTTACAGCCCAGTACTGACGACATGACAACAAAACCAACACATTTGCAGGCAACTGTGCAGCTCTGCAAAAGGAGAATGCTACGGAAAGCATGGCTCTGACTGGACCTGCCAACTCAGCCACACAGTAGTGAAGGCTCCTCTGCCATAACCTGACTTTCCTTTCCAACTACATGACGGCGAGAAGTGACAGAGCGAAGTAAACATACAGTCGTCACTAGGCATGCTAACCTTTAATCCTGGGACCCATCCAACAGCTTCTCTCCCTCATGAAATGGTAGGATGCCTCAGCAAAGAATTCTTTTTGTTTGTTTGTTTGTTTGTTTGTTTTGCTTTTTTTCGAGACAGGGTTTCTCTGTGTAACCAACTGGCCTAGCTGCCTTAGAACTAACTTTTGTAGGCCAGGCTGGCCTCGAATTCAGAGAGAGCCACCTGCCTCTGCCTGTAATCCAAACACTCAGGAGGCTGACACGGGAGAATCATGAGTTAAAGGCTAGCCAGTATTATACACCGAGAATGCTTCCAAAAAAAGACCAGAGCTAACATGATGAAGGTTCCCAGTCTGCCAGGAAAAGCAGAAATATAAACAGTAACGCGCCATAAAATCCTTCATCTAAAGATCCTCTTTACTAAAGAAGTTTACCTTTTGACAGCCTCAAAAAAAGCAAAATTAAGAATTCACCTATTCTTTGAGAAAACTACTAATTCTACTGAGCATTCAATGGTATGATATATGGTCCATTTACATAAACAAACTTAAAAGCTTGTTGCAATCAATGAATGATCATCTCATGACGATTCAGCAGTAGATGCTTGTTGGGGTGGAAAATAATTAAAAATTGGTTTGAAAATGTCCAACAACTTATCAAAACCTACCTGATGAGCCACAAAAGTCAAACACAAGCCTCAGTTAAAAGTCAAAGGTTCCACAGAGCCACGTTACTGTTCTATTTCTACTAAAAGAGAACACAAATTTTGGGATCAATACTTTCCTGGCAGAATTATGACTTTGGTACTACGTCTTCTAGAAAAAGCACCTGTTCCTTCTGTCAGCTGCCAGCTGTAACCTCCCTTTACTACCCTCATTTTTCTAGAGCACTATAGATAAAATTATATCATTCATGCAAAAATCTGCAAAATAGAATACTGGCCCTGAAAAAGTTGTCAAAATTACCCCTCAATTTTTTTACAAGGGAACCCTAACCCTGGAGTTACCAATGGGAAGATCCTGTAGGTTCCTGGACTGTTGGCATATGTCCTCTTAACCCAGGAATCTCCTGGGACCGTATTTCCACCCTGTGGCAATCTGCGGGTCAACTCAAGCCGTACACAAGTGTTAACAATTTTCACTGAATTATCTGAAAATCCAAGAATCCAAAACCCTCTTGCAGGTTTAATTTTTAAAACTGGAAAGTAATGTGTTAAATCCTTTCTTAAGATTTAAACTTGTCCGACATATAAACCTTCTCAAGAAAGCACAAAGAAAAAGAATAAACCACTCGCGTCAGAAGAAATCTGAGTGACATCTCTAGTTCCAGAAATCACTACTATCTTCTAACATCATTGCCTCTCCATTCGCCTTCCTTGTCCGTGGACGCTCCTCGCACTCCAGCTCTTAAAAGGACCACAAACAGAGCCCTATAGCCCACTACCCAAAGATCTTCGACGCCTTGAAAGCCACTTTCCTGTGAAAAAGTCATCCCCCAAGGGTTCATTTTTCTTCCTGGACTTTTTCTTTCTAACCTTTAGGCCAAGAGACTTCCCATCCGACCCCTCCCTCTTTCCAGCCAACACAAACTCCCGGCCCTTCAAAGCCACCATTCCCACCGCGTCAGGTGGCTGTCAGTCCCCACCCGGCTGCCTTGCCCTTGGGCCGGTTTCAGGCGGCCCGGGGCCAGTTCTTCCCATTCCTCACACCCACGGCAATAGCCCAGGGCGCCTCCTCCTCCGCGTCCGGGTTCCGGGGACCCCTCGCACGTCCCTCCTTCACCAGCTGGGCTGCAAGGCCCCTGCGCCTCGCCCCTCGTTGCCGACTTCCTCCGGATTCCATTCCAGAGCGGCCTACCCCGGCGCCCCCAACCGTCTCCCCGCGGTCCCCAGCGTCCCCGGCTCTCACTCACCCTTGGCTTCAGGTGCCCCCCAATCTCCCCTCTCCTCAGCCTCGGAGCCCGCTCACCTCCGCGGTGGGAGCCGAGCTGTCCGGACCCAGCTCGGAGCTGGCGTCCGGGGTCCTCGGCGCGTTGGCGGAGCGCAGCGCCTCGAGCGGCAGACGCAGAGCCTGGGAAGGGGAGCCGGAGCGCAGGCTGGAGCCAGCTCGGCTACGCGCGGGCATCGCTCCGGCCCCGTCGGCGCCCCGCCGCCAGCAGCGGCCAGCCGAACCGGAACTGCTTAGGGGGGCGGGGCGTATCGGAGAAGGGGCGGGGACAAAACCGGAAGGGAACCTGAAGGGAGGCGAAAGCGCATGCGTCAGAGCCAACCATCGGCAGCCAAGGAGTCTTAATGAAGATGGGAGAGTTCCAGTGGGGTTGCTGACTGGGGTAAGGGCCTAGTAAGAGCCGATTCTGAGTTCTTTGAAGGGTCTAGCTCCTCTTCATCCAGTCCCCACGTAACACTATTATTGCTCCTTTATTCTGACTGTCTCCATGCAATCTGACTGTAATCGCAATTATTGTTTCAACTCTGCAAAGCAGATCTCACACACACAGAAAGGTCAAGAAACACTGTAGCCTGACACAGCACAGTTAATATGTTTCCAAGCTGGTATTCCAACCCCCAGTTGTCATCAGAACCTGTGTTCTTTTCTGCCACTACTCTACCTAACAGAATGCCCCCTTCTAACCCAAGCCTAGGGCTGGCAGAAACCATGTCTAAAGCCATCTACAACTTGAATTTTAGGTCGTCTTTGGCTCTACTTCCTTGAACAATGCAGGAACAGCTTTGTTGTTTCTAAAGGGGTTGGGGGCAGGTTCTGAGGTGATAGAAGGGTAGACATGGGTGCCGCCTTGGTGTGGCCTTTCCCTTCAAACCAGACTCCAAGAGCAGGGGTGGCCAGGAATCTGTTCAGTTCCCTCATAACCTTCAAGGCCTCCATGAAGCCACATGAGACGGCAAGACATCCCTTGTAGGCAGAGGACTCTCCCATCCCCAAAATGTTTCTGATGGAAGTAGACATGTAGTTCAGTGGTTAGAGCACTTGCTGCCCTTGCAGGAGACCCAGATTCAATCCCCTGCCCCCACATGACACCTCACAACCACCTAGAACTCTGATTTCAGAGGATTCAACACTCTCTTCTAGCCACAGCCGGCACTGTGCAGATGCAGGCACTCAAAACCATGTTTAAACTTATTTTATGTCTCAGTGTTTGCTTGCATGTATGTCTGTGCTTCTAACCACTGAGCCATCTCTCCAGTACCAATAAAATATTTTTAATTGGGCTGGGCGATGGTGGCGCCCGCCTTTAATCCCAGCACTCGGGAGGCAGAGGCAGGCGGATCTCTGTTCGAGACTAGCCTGGTCTACAGAGCTAGTTCCAGGACAGGCTCCAAAGCCACAGAGAAACCCTGTCTTGAAAAAAAAATATTTTTAATTATAAAAATAATAAATCTTTTGCTGGATGTGGTGGTGCATGCCTTAATCCCAGCACTCGGGAGGCAGAGGAAGGCAGATCTCTGTGACTTCGAGGCCAGCCTGGTCTACAAAGGGAGTTCCAGGACAGGCTCCAAAGCTACAGAGAAACCCTGTCTCGAAAAACCAAAAAAAAAAAAAAAAAAAAAAAAAAGAAATTAGCTATCTTCATTATAGAATCATCATTCAGATCTTTCATGTGCATTTTCTGGGCACACTTCAGATGCTTTCCTCCATGTCTCCCTAAGTTTTTCTAACCCCACAACTCAGACATTATCCCCGAGTTCCACCGTCGTAGGCTCCAATCCTGTGACATTGGGTCCCACAAAGTGTGTAGCCCACTTGGACTTGCAAAGCTCTTTTCTAACATTCATCACTGGGTGCTTTAACTCTGTCCTCAGAACCTAATAACCTATGCTAGGGCTCTAAACCTAAGAATTAAACTATTTCGAAACACCTACTGTATGCTAGACAACAGTGAACCTTTTGCTTAACCCTTGAAACAACACACCTCCAGGGCAAGTGTATACTTAACTCCACAAAAGAAACTGGTGGAGATGGAGAAAGCTGGTGACTTGTTGGGGTCTAATCCACGTTCTCAGAGGCTTTCAGGATGGGAGTTGACACAAGAGAAATAGGTCTTGTCCTCTTTGGAGGCCCCTGGGACTTGCTGAGTCACTTTGTCTCACCTGTTACTGCCAATCTTTGGGAAGGAGACATGACACCAGGGGGCAGAGAAGAAGGAGCTGACGGCAGAGGCAGAGGGGAAGGCAGGCTGGCCCATGGCTGAAGCCTCCATCCCAAAGCCGGGGGAAGAAGCAGAAGCCACACCTTGCCCCAGTGTCCTGCAGCTCGAAGAGCTCCTGAGGGCGGGGAGAGCCTCTTGCAGCCGTGTGGACGAAGTCTGGCCCAACCTTTTCATAGGAGATGCGTGAGTGGCTGCTGGCAGGGTTGTAGGAGTAAGTCAAGAAGAAACAATTCTAGAACTCTTTACAGCCGAGGTGGCTGAGAGGGAACAAGAACTAGTTGCTTCTGGTCCACCCCTGGCCAGGAATTTTCTCCCGACTCCCTAAGCACCGGGAGCTATTCAATGACCAGCTTCTAACAGCAGAGGGAGCTTGAGTGTTTTCGGTTTGTTTCTTGGGAAGGTCTGAGGGAGTTCCTGCCTGGGAGATCCCCGGGGTCTTCAGGCACGTCCTAGACAACTGGCCAGGCTGGGAAGCAATCACGTTTGGAATATGAGATGGAGTAACCACAGATCATAGTTCTGGTCCCAGCTTGCGTCCTGTAGACACTGAGTGGGTGGAGCAGCCTGACCTAGGATGAATCAGGAAAGGTGTCACTTCTAAATATTTGTAGATTAGTAGCAGGTATGACGTGGTGACCAAGTGACTCTAGATCATGTACGTGAGTCAGAGGACGTGTGGCAAGAAGGGAGGGGCAGCCAGTTCTCGGGGGCTGAAGCAATCTCTTCCTGGCTTTGGTGGGAGCAAGCTACCTAAGACAGCAAAAGGGACTTAAACATACCCCTGGCACTACCAGCTCTGCCAACAGAAAGTTCTGGGATGGAGAGTTGCAGGCCCAGCTCAGTGCAGATTAATTCTAGCTACCTTTCTACCCTTATACGCTCCCCAAATCGAGCCAGAGGCTCAGCCCACATCCAGTCTCCTTTCTGCCCTTCCCAGGGTGACAGCAAATAACCGCTTTGAGCTATGGAAGTTGGGGATCACCCATGTGCTGAACGCCGCCCATGGGGGACTCTACTGTCAGGGAGGCCCTGACTTCTACGGCAGCAGTGTGAGCTACCTGGGGGTACCAGCACAAGACCTCCCCGATTTCAATATCAGCACCTACTTCTCCTCAGCAGCTGACTTCATCCACCGTGCCCTCAACACACCTGGGGGTACGTGATACGGACTACATATTCGATTCTGCTCACTTGTGGGAAGGATAGCCAGTTTCCCTCCATCCTCAGCATCCCCCATCCCTGGTTTCTGCTTTGTTTGTTTCTCTTTTTTGTTGTTGTTTTAACAATATTCTGCTCTATCCCTCAGCATCTTAGCTAATGACATTGCTTCACAGATGGGGAAAGTTAGCTGGGCGGCGGTGGTGCACATCTTTAATCCCAGCACTTGGGAGACAGAGGTACATCTCTGTGAGTTCAAGACCACTTTGGTCTACAGATTGTATTCCAGGATAGCCAGGGCAACACAGAGAACCCATACCAAAAACAAACAAACAAACAAAAAACAGATCAGGTGGAGAAAGCCCAAATACCAAGGCATAATAAATATTAGCCGCCACGCAGCTGGAAACTAGATCTCGCAGTTGCCTGAACAGTTCTTACTCCACAACAGGCAGCCCTGGGAAAGCACCACATGGTACCCAGAGGTCTGCCCCAAAGTACCTCCAAATGAACAAAACAAAACACCCAGGATACAACAGGCCTTGAAAGGCCTCTGAGCCCTTACTGTATATTCATCTGGGGAAAGAGCCATGGCCCTCGCTCTGTAACCCTGGACAAGTCAGTGTCCTCCGGGGTTTCATTTCCTCATTGTTCTGTGATGAGGGATTGGGTCAGGGTCACGTTGCTTTGGAATAGCCAGAGCACTGTGACATCCTCTCTATCTTCATCTGCCCATCCATCACCTAGTCGTTATTCACTCCGCATCAGGGGAAGCACTGAATTCTAGGAAGCCAGACCTGCTCTTGTAGAACTGCTAATCAAACTGTGATGTGCTCTGAGCGTTGCTGACGTGAGAGGGCAGATGGACCCACGCGTCAGGGATTGGTCTCTGCGGCAGCTTCCCTAGGAACATGCAGACCGGACTAGCTGCTCGGTGGCTCAAGTGCTGTGTTTAGAGTGGTGAAGAAAGCTGATAGGGAAGCCCTGTCTGAGTGTGGCTTGATGGATGAGTAAGGGCTAGTCAGACCAAGATCAGAGGAAAGGTCAAAGGCCACGACAGCTCCAAGGCACCGAAAGTCTTCCTGTACTCATAGAGCTGAGGATCAAGGCAGGTTCAAAATGGCTAGTTCTCAGGGGCTTTTGTTTTGGTTTGTTTTTATTTTCGAGACCTCTGTGTTTTTCTAAGTAGCCCTAGCTGTCCTGAAACCAGTTCTGTGGAGCAGGCTGACTTTGAACTCAGAGATCTGCCTAGCCCTGCCTCCTGAGTACACCTCTGAGTGCTACCACTGCCTGGCCTCCAAGGCTTCTGTAAGTCACACTGAGGATTTGGACTGTAGTTCTACACAGGTGTTAGTCTCCTCTTGAAAGATCAGGAAACTGTGGCCCAGAAAGGCTGAGACACTTGCACAGGGCCCCATAATGCACCCACGGCAGGTTTTGGGGAATGGAATTTGTGCTTGGGTACCATCCCTTGGGTGGGCTGGCTGGTGGGAAGGAGTCAATCACCTGAAGTCTTTTTCTTCTCCAGCTAAGGTGCTCGTGCACTGTGTGGTGGGTGTGAGCCGCTCTGCCACACTGGTCCTGGCTTACCTCATGCTGCGTCAGCAGCTCTCCTTACGGCAGGCAGTCCTTGCGGTAAGTCAGCACCGATGGATCTTCCCCAACCGCGGCTTCCTCCGCCAGCTCCGCCAGCTGGACCAGCAACTGCGGGGTGCAGGCCAGAGCTAAGGAACCCGGTAAGGAAGGGCAAGGAGGCAAAGCTGAGTGTGGCTGGCAGTGAGAAATCAGCTGAGGACCCGGACGGGAAGCTGGTTGGCAGGGCCGCCTGCGGCTGGAGGTGTCCCTAGCTGCTAGGCCCCCTTGCCTGTCCAGGGCCTGCCAGGCCGTCCTCCCGCCTGAATTCTTTTTTTTTGTTTTTTTTTTTTTTTTTTTTTTTTTTTTTTTTTTTTTTTTTTTTTTCCGAGACAGGGTTTCTCTGTGGCTTTGGAGCCTGTCCTGGCACTAGCTCTGTAGACCAGGCTGGTCTTGAACTCACAGAGATCCGCCTGCCTCTGCCTCCCGAGTGCTGGGATTAAAGGCGTGCGCCACCACCGCCCGGCCCCGCCTGAATTCTTTAGCTCTCCAGAGAATAGAGAAAGGTGGAAGATGGCTTAGCAGGTAACAGCCCTTGCCACACAAGCATGAGGACCGGAGCCTGACTCTCCAGAAACTCACACAAGGCGATAGGAGACAGACAAATGAACCCCGGAACTTAATGAACCTGGTATATCAAGGGAAAAACACATCAACAACAACAAAACAAGATACCCTGTTTCAAACAAGGTAGATGACAAAGCATCAATGCCTGAAGTTGACCTCTGACCTTCACTTACACTGTGGTACTCAAATATTCAAACAAGTGTACACACATGGCCAGAGGGCGAGAGAGTAAAAGAGAGAGATGAGGAAGGACTGTTAGGGTTAAGAAGCCCTATGTGCTGTAGGGAAGGCCTCCCTACATGCTTTTGGGGCTACCCAGTCCCTCCTAAGAGCCTGTGAGACTTACCAAATTCCCAGCCAGCAGCAGAGCCAGTCCGGGCCCCCACACTTACTCTGCAGTGCACTAGTGTTAGTCACCAAGAGATGTGTCCCCCGCGATGGCAGGTCCACTGCTGTGCCGTCCCCTTTAGACAGGCACGAGAAATGCAACAACAGCAGATTTTGCGGCATGCCTCCGTCGCTCTACTTCCTTAGCCTGCAGTCTCAGACACCCTGGCCTCCAACCTCAACATCTCGCCCATCAGTCAGCTGGTCTGGGGGAAGTTGGTTGAACAGAGCTACACCATTGCCCAATTTGTAGAAATGACATCTACAAAATCGCCTCTGTCATGAGAGCCTCCAGAGACTCGCCGGACACAGGCTGTACAGCTGTGCCCAGCAACCCTGCAGCTGAGGCCTGTGCAGAGAGGCCACCTCTGTTCTCCTCGTTTCTCCTGGCACCTCTAGCCACTTGGTCTTGTACACAGAACTCAGGGTGAAGGAGGTTAGGTAATAGCTCTGGCCCCTGTGCTGACACACCCGTCAGTATAGGCCTTGCTTTGCCCGCCTGTAACGTGAAGGTTCTCTCTTCTCCAGAGTCAGTCGTTATCCTCAGCCACAAGGCTCTGCCACTTTGCCACTCTGGCTCTGGTCCTGGCCCTGTTGGCAGCCTTAGCCCAGGTGGATGCCCACAGGATGGAAAGGGCCCAGGGTGGGGCTCACCCTCGAACCTGCTGCTTCATCGGCTTCCTCCAGCATTCTGCACACCCTCACAGTTGCCGGCTTCAGTCTTCACAGGTGGGAGTGGGCTGTCAGCCAAGCTCTGAGGTTCTGGAACAGGGGTCCCCAAGGTCCCTGGTGGGCCAAGGAGGATGATTCTCAATGTTTTCTCCAGCTCTCCAGCAGTGGTTGAGTCTTAGCTCCTGGGAGTTTTGTGTATAGAAGGCTGAGGGAGTGTGTGTGTGGTAGGGCTGGGGATATTATGATATAGGTGTATGGCTAGGGCATCTGGATTAAAAGGAGAGGATTTAGTCTCAAATGCAGTGGGCTATCACTAGGCATACCCCTGGCATCCCTATCTTTGAGAAAGGGAGAGGGCCGTGGAGGGAAGAGCTGGTCCCAGATAAAGACTCTGAGCACAAGAGCCCGCTGGGTAGTCCTCTACATCTTTGTCTGTGTTACCTGCACTGCGTCTGCCAGACCTTAGTCCTGGGCTAGTTACCCCCAGATAGAGACTTCTAGGCCTGTGTGCTGATGTTCACCGTGTCACCTGTGTGTGCCTTGAGTGTCATCTCTGTCCTCAGCATATACCTTTTCAGCTCTTCTGCCCTTGTTTTGGGTAACCTTTGAAAGTCAAGGGAGTTGGAGGGGGTGTCTGTTTGTCTGTCTCCTTTGGATAGTGCTGGAATGGAACTCGGGGCTTCAACCACTACTGTTCCACTAAACAAACACCTCCAAGCCCTGAAGGGAGGTAGTTTTTTGTTTTGTTTTATGTGATTTTTTTTTAAAAACAGGATCTCCACTTTAGCCACTTCATGGCTTTCCTAGAACTCATTATATAGAACAGGCTGTCCTTGAACTTACAAAAATCTGTCTGCCTCCACCTAGGTGGTGCTAGGATTAAAGGCGTGCACCACCACACTCTGGCTCTAAAAGGAATTTTAAAGACGGTTTGCTTGATATTTCCTTCTCCCCGCCCGGCTACCTGGCACCACACAGCACAGGCAACCCCTCTGAGCTTCCCGTGTGCCTAACATTAAGACTGAGGCCTGGGACTGACCATTCCCTGGGACCAGTGGATGAATAGGGAGTGGCAAGGGGCAAGCAGAAGGGAGAGGACAGCATGCTTTATAATTAAACCCCAATCAAAAAATAGAAACAGCATCAAGTGTGCAGAGACAGGCGACTGGAAGCCGGCAGTCCACGTTGTCCGCCAGAGACGATTACAGCCTGGGCAGGATCTCCTCACAGGTGGGTGCAATGGCCCTAACCCAGGGGCCCCTGGGAATGCTGGGTAGTGGTGCCCAGAGCACCTCTGCCTATGTTATGTGTGTTGGGCAACTGTGAGGATTGGGTTGGAGGTCCAAATGGGCCAGAGGCTCAGAACCACTATGTGACCTTGGACCTACTACTTTATCTATCTGAGCCTCGGTTTTCTCAACAGAAAAGTGGGGATATCCATACTGCCTGCTTCCTGAGAGCACTCTGTGGACTCGGGAAGACGTGACTTCTGGGCTCTGTCTGGTCTGTAATGTGTTTCCTTAAGAAGCACAGAGATCCAGGGGAAACCTCTGCCGACAGTAGCGACCTCGCCACTCCATGGCTCTGCTGAGTCCTGAAAGAATGAGAGTGATTACAACGACAGAAATAACGTGATTCTCCATTCACGGGGCATCTCCCATGATGCACTGAGTCTAGGAGGCGTATATAGTTGATGATGTCATGGGCGTCTTCTTCCAGCAGCCCCCAGTGAAGATTCAGGCTCAGAGACTCTCACTCCGGCCCATCTTCCTCCAGGAGTGCAGGGATGCACGCTGGGCAGAGACCACCACAGGCCATCTGCCTGCCATGGTCCCCAAGGTCCCTTTCCCAGACTCCTCAATATTCTCTAGTGAGAACTCCATCATCCCCAGCTGGCCTGTACTCCCCTCAGGGAGAGGGGAGGCAGAGAGAGGACAGCAGAGGAGACCGGGAGGAACGTGTCCTGGGGTCACAGCAAACAACAGCCCTGTCCCCAGGCGGCCTGAAGCTGTGGGCGTACAGGGTGATATTCTAGAAGGCTGTGGGTCCTGGGAGAACATGGAGGAAGGCAGCGGAGAACACACTAGAGATGAGCGATACTGAGGCCAACAGAAAACAACTGTGTAGCCCTGTAAACAGCGGCAGTGTTTGCCCACAGGCAGCTGCTTGCTGAAGCTACAGGGAAGCAGAGGCCAGGTACCAACAGGGGGCAGCTAGCTCGAGTGTGAAGGAACAAGCCTGTTCTTACAGGACGGACGTTCAGCCATGTCTCATTTTGACATCGCCGAGATGTACAAGTCAGTGTCAAGTGGGGGCCTCCGTAAACTAAGAGGCAGCAAGAATCAAGGGAACTGAGTCCCTGGGCTGCCTTTGAGGGTAGGGGATAAATCTTAAGGGATGGATCCCTCAGTGGACCTGAGCTGTTAGCTGGGCTCCAGACACCCTGAGCACAAGAAGTAAGGCCCTAAGTATGACATGACAATGAGACCCTAAGTCGAAGAATAACCTTCCCTACAGATCTAGGTTAGACATGGAAGGCTACAAACTGCCTCTAAACCCCTGACATGATTCCTGGGGCACAGTTGTGCTGCCTGGCAGTCACTGGCCACCAGGGGGCAGCCTTACCCCATGCCAAATTTAGCAGGCCTGTGAGGGGCCTGTGGTTTTCCAAAATTCCTGTATGGTTCCACTCAGAGCTGGAGCAGTCTACATGGTGGCTCCAGACCAGAGTGACTGTTGGACTCCTCTGGACTCCGGGGGTCCCCTCCAACCCAGTGTCCTTTGGTCTGGCTTTACTTCATGTAGAATCACTCCTGTCTCTTACAGCCCACAAAATACCAGAGAATCCATAGAAGTCAGGCAACCCCACCAATCTTTCACATGAGGAGCTCAGGTCAAGACAGGAATGAAAACTTGCTTAGGTCACAGAATGTATCCTGGCCAAGTTTTAAGTCTGTTCTCTAGGTACCTCTTCAACTGGTCCCGCATCTTCAGGAGGGTTTTAGGGATGTATTTCTTCAGTGCCAGAGAAGGGCCACTGGTCAGTCCAAGCAGCCCAGGTTTGCTCTCCCCTACCCCCAGCCCCATTGGCTCGAGTGCATGGACCTGGAATTCTAGCCGCTTCACAGCGTCTGTGTTCTGGACGGAATCTGCCTTAGGACTGTTCCACTCACATGCAGAATCCCGCCCCTGCACCCAGTCCCCCATTCCTGGCCCCAGACCATGCCCTAGGTAGGTGGCAGGCCACTCAGCCTGCCCTGAGAGGTCAAAGTGAGGGATGAGGGAGAAAGCCCGGTCCTCACTTCCTCCCAGCTCACCATCCACCCGCTGGGTGAGCTTGGCCAAGCCAGTGGCCTCCTGGGTGCCTGTTTCCTTTTCCCGTCTTGGCACTGCCTACCAGAAGGAAAAGATGCTTTACCCAGTCTGTACCTTCTCTAGTTACTCTTTGAGGGAACCAGGGGAAGTTGGCCAAGATAGGTCCCCCTTCCCTCTACGGCACCAGGCCCAGATTCTGGTTCCTCTGACACCGCAGCTCTGCAGGGTCCCGGATGACCTGAGCCAGCTGACTCCAGACACAGCCCACCCCATCCGGGTGAGGCCTGCACAGCTGCACTGGCCCGAGTCACGGGGGTAAGGAGGAAAGCCTGGGGCCTGTAGGCAGATGTGTAGCTGAGCCCTGACAGGCCCCCTACAGGAGACATATATGTTGGTGACCACCCCCTGGCAATTGGAAGGTTTGGGGAAGGAACTGAAGTCACTTGGAAGTGGTTCTCAACCCCAGGGTTGTCTTTGAATGTCACTCAATTGACACTGGGCACCAGTGTCCCTCCGTGGAAAACGAGGGGCAGAGCATAAGTGAGACGTTCTGCATATGAGAGGCCCCAGCTCACCAGTGCCAGCCTATAGCTGACTACTCTGACCCTGGACAATGCTCCGATCAAGCACCTGGAAGTGGGGGTTTGAGGCCCAGACCTAAGGACAGCAGGGGTGGGGGATGAATTGCCTGGGTTTGGAGGGACATCCCGGGTGCTTTCTGAGAGCCTCAACCAGCCGGGGTTTCCAGTGGCTTAAGGTGTAAGGTCTGTACTGATTTGTCCTACAGAGGTTCCCAAGGCCAAAGTTTCTAACATCCACAGCCTCAGGAAAGGTCTACTTGGCGCCATGGCATTGACAAGGGAATTCTAGTTCTCCTTGTTCCCAGGGAACAGGTTCTAGGTTCTAGCCTCATTCAGCATAGCTGAGACTGGCCCCAAAGCCTCCCAGGGGCTCCTGTTACTGCTTCACAGCCCCCCCCCTGGCCACTGGATCCGTCCTTGGGGAGTCTGCTCCAGCAGCTGTCGTGGCCACTCTGTTCCAGGATGGACTCACTACAGAAGCAGGACCTTCGGAGGCCAAAGATTCATGGGGCGGTTCAGGTGTCCCCCTACCAGCCACCCACGCTGGCCTCGCTGCAGCGATTGCTGTGGGTCCGTCGGACCGCCACACTGACCCACATCAATGAAGTCTGGCCCAACCTTTTCTTGGGAGATGCGTAAGTGAGCCCCACGGAGGAGCTGGGGGGGGCAGAAGGGTGAGAGGCGGGACAAACCTCCTCCAGTTGGCATCTCTGCTTCTCAGCATCACCCACATTTGTCTTTCTTCTTATGTTTATTATGGCAATAGAACACCAGTAAGAAAAGATACAAAATACACACACAGTTTCATCTTTCAGAAACAAGGAGTTACTTATGCAAGTTCCCTTTCTCGTGGATAGCCACACTTTAATTGACATTTTTTTTTTTGACAAGGTGTCAAGTACCCCAAGTTGGCTTGAACTCCCTATATACCTGAGGACACCTCGAGCTTTTGACCCTCTAGCTTCTACCTCCAAAGTACTGGGATTGCAAGGGTACATCACCACGACTGTTTTATGCTAGAGATCAAACCCAAGGTGTATGCTAGGCAAATCTTTGCGCGTGCAAAGTAAGCACTCCAGTAATTAAGCTATGTGCCTAGCCTGTCTAAAATAACTATCATCATCATTGATATGAAATCTCACTAGTAGCCCTGTGTGTCCCAGAACTCACTAGAAGAACAGGCTGGCCTCACTAATAAAGATCCTCCTGCCTCTGCCATTTATTTATTTATTTATGTTTTTGTTTTTCGAGACAGGGTTTCTCTGTGGCTTTGGAGCCTGTCCTGGAACTAGCGCTGTAGACCAGGCTGGTCTCGAACTCACAGAGATCCTGCCTCTGCCAGAATGCTAGGATTAAAGGAGTGTGCCACCACCGCCCGGCCTTGCCTCTGCCTTTTAAATGTTGGGATTCAGTCGCGTGCTACCTTGCCAGTCTCATTGTTTTTTGTTTGTTTGTTTGTTTTGTTGTTGTTGTTTTCGAGACAGGGTTTCTCTGTAACTTTGGAGCCTGTCCTGGAACTAGCTCTGTAGACCAGGTTAGCCTTTGAACTCACAGAGATCCTCCCGCCTCTGCCTCCCTGAGTGCTGGGATTAAAGGAGTGTGCCACCACTGCCCTGCTCCCATTTTTGTTTTTGTTTGAGATAGGGTCTCACTATAACCTTGGCTAACCTGGAATTGTCTAGGTAGACTGTGCTAGTCTTGAACTTACAAGGCCTGTGCCACTGCGCCCCACCGAATCCCCTCCCTTTTCTCTCACTCCCACTAGTCTGGTTTTTTCCACCAGATAATCTTCTTCTGTTCTAGTGTCATATGTATGTAATGCATAAGTGATTTTCTGTAGCTATGTAAAACTTAGGACCCACAGTTGAGCAAATACATAGGATGCTCTCTGGGTCTGTGTGTATTATTTCACTTAATACAACTTCCATTTACACCCATCTCAAAAGCACTCTTTATTTTTCTTTCAAGCTTTACCACCTAAACAATATAGATGTGCCTTTTGTCTGCCTTCCCCCTCCCACCCTCGAGATAGGGTTTCTCTGTAGCTTTGGAGTTTGTCCTGGAACTAGCTCTTGTAGACCAGGCTGGTTTCAAACTCACAGAGATCTGCCTGCCTCTTCCTTGAATTGTTTTTTGTCTTGTGGGGCTAAAGAAATGGCTCAGCAGTTAAGAGCAATTACTGTTCTTGCAGAAGATCTGAGTTTGGTTCCCAGTGCCCATGTGGCAGATTACAACTCCAGATCCAGGGGATCTGATGCCCTCTTCTGACTTCCACAGGCCCCTTCATGCACATGGTGCACATAAACTCACAGGAGCACACACATACATATAAATTTAAAAGGAACTTTTTGTGTGTATGCACGTGTATATCTGTATGTATTCATGTGTGAATACATTTGCATACTTGCTACAGTGCATCTGTGGAGGTCAGAGAACACATTTTCGGTCTGTTGTCCATGGTTGTACATGCCTGGCTAGCCAGCCCATGAGCTTCTGGGACTTTTCTGTCTCCATCATCTGTCTCATTATAGGAGCCACGGTATTTCACAGACCCACACTACTGCATTTGGATTTGAACTTCAGGTCTTCACACCTGTGTGACAAACAGCCTATAGTGTGTGTGTTCGTGGACAGCATCATATGTTTAAAATTGTGTGACACAATGTTATCCTGTATGTAGCTATTATATAATAGTCCACTGTGTGACTAGACCATAAATTCTTCATTTGTGCTGACCCCACTTTAAACTACTATAGTGATCCAAGAGCTGTTTAGTAAAGGTGTCCTGGAAAAACACGAGTTTCCCAAGGTTTCTACAAGAGAGAAGGAGAGGCAGACAGACAGACAGACAGACAGACAGAGAGAAGAAAAACTTGTTTTTCCCTAAGACTTCTTAACTCTGAAGTGGGCTGGAGAGCTGACTCAACAACAGGTGAGAGCACTGGCTGCTTTCCAGAGGTCCCGAGTTCAGTTCCCAGCACCCACAGGGAGCTCACAACTGTTGTCCCATGGGATCCGATGCTCTCTTCTGATGTGCAGCTGGACATGCAGAAAAGACCTACATATACACGCAAATACATCTTTAGGATTAATTAAAGCATGGATTAATATTCCTCTTTCCACAGAGATAAAAATCCTTGTAGAATTTTTAAAAAATATGTGCTTTTTCACAGTTCTATTTTGGGTAAAAATGCCATCACTTTCAGTACTGTTTTGAGATGAGCTTTCCACATGACGCCTACTACATGGTTAAAAATTCTTAGAGCATTCTGCCTTATCTCTTGTATTTTCACAGGTTCCTGATGAAACGTAAACATCTCCCCTTGTTTACCTGCATTTGCCATATTTTAGTGATTCATGGCATTTCATAATTTATCCACACAGGAATTTGCTTCACGCAAGGGGTGTGTGCCACATCCCCCAGTGGGTATCCAAAACTGAAGACAGTGTCAAATGCTCACAATATAGGCTGGCTTTTTTTCCTACTGATAATAAATACCTTTGTAAAATTTAGTTTGTAAGTTAGATTAAGAAAGTAACACTGATAATAACAAGACAGCAATTACTGTATTAAGTAAGGGCTAATTGAACACAGGTCTGTGATACTGTGACAGTTAATTTTATAACTGAGAAAGCTTCTCAACAATTAAAGTAGCTTACGAAAGGGTAAGTCTTGTCCTTGTTCTAGCTTCATAAAACATTGACCAAAGCCTGCTTGAGGAGGAAAGACTTTCTTTGGATTACAGATACAGTTGGCTGTCAGTAGAAGCCCAGGCAGGAGCTGAAGCAGAAGCCGTGGAGGAACACTGCCTATGACCTGCTCCCTCTGGCTTTCTCAGCTGCCTTTCTTCTACAGCCAGGCCAGGGACTGCACCATCCAAGGTGGGCTGCATCCTCTTATATCAATTAGCAACTGAAAATGCCCCAGAGACATGTTCCTCAGCCAGCCAGGGTGGCAGTTCCTCAATTGAGTTCCTCTACGTAGATCGGTAAAGTTGACAAATACCACCGCTAGCCCTGGCAGCCTTGGGCACAACATGGCAGGACAGTGTAAAACTTAAAATCTATTCATTGTTTACTTATAAACTTAAAAAAACATTTTGAAGCCACAGTTGACTGTGGGTAAATGAAACTGTGAAAAGTAAAACCACAGATGAAAGGTTTGCTGTACCATACTTTATAACCTATTATAAAGTAATTAAGTTCATTTTCTGTCAAAAAATAAGTGCTCTGGGCTGGAGAGATGGCTCAGAGGTTAAGAGCATTGCCTGCTCTTCCAAAGGTCCTGAGTTCAATTCCCAGCAACCACATGGTGGCTCACAACCATCTGTAAAGAGGTCTGGTGCCCTCTTCTGGCCAGCAGGCATACACACAGACAGAATATTGTATACATAAATAAATAAATATTAAAAAAAAAAAAGTGCTCAACTGGGCACTGGTGGCACATGCCTTTAATCCCAGCACTAAGGAGTTAGAGGCAGGAGGATCTCTGTGAGGTCGAGGCCAGCCTGGTCTACAGAGTAAGTTCCAGGACAGGCAGGGCTATACAGAAAAACCCTGTCTTAAAAAAAAAAAAATTTCTTTCCTAATATTTCAGTTTTAAATACCACTAAATTCATCTTCTATACTGTCTTTTGGCACATTTTGAATTCTTCCTTTTAATCTGTTCTTAGAAGAAAGTGTTTACACAAAGTCTACACACATCTCTAAAGCTTTGGATGCGTGTAGCTAAACATCCCTCCAGGAAGTTCCCCAGGGTAAAGGTCTAGAGCAGTGCTTCTCAACCTGTGGGCCACGACCCCTTCACAGGGGTCGCATAGAGGACAACCTGCTTATCAGATGTTTACATTATGTTTCATAACAGTAGCAAAATTACAGTTATAAAGTAGCAGCAAAATAACTTTCTGGTTGGGGGTCACCATGGACTGTATTAAAGGGTCGCAGCCTTAGTCAGGGTGAGAAGCGCTGCGTGAGGGTATTGCCCTCGTCAGAGAAGTTCGCGGTCCAGAACAGAGGCGTGAGGTACACCTTCACCCCCTAACTTCTCATGTGCCCTTCCTCCAGGTATGCTGCCCGAGACAAGAATCGTCTTATCCAACTGGGCATCACCCATGTTGTGAATGTCGCTGCGGGCAAATTTCAGGTGGACACCGGTGCCAAGTTTTATCGCGGAACACCTCTGGAGTACTATGGCATTGAAGCTGATGATAATCCCTTCTTTGACCTCAGTGTCTACTTTCTGCCTGTTGCTCGATACATCAGAGATGCCCTCAACACTCCCCGAAGTAAGCTGCTGGGGACGGGACTGGGCAGGTTGGGGTCAGGGTGGGATGAGGCGGCACAGGTGGGTAGGGAGCCTGTGGCACCAACCCCAGCAGCGACCATCCCACGCTAAGGAACAGGTGCCTCTCACCATTTAATGAGCATACCGTGGAGCCTGCCAGCTGCAGATAGGGCTATGATTCAGCATGGGGGCTGGAGAGATGGTCCAGGTGTACGGTGCTTGCTGTGCACCATGAGGATCGTCAGTCACTCCCTGGAACCTACATGAAAAAGGCAGGCATGGGAATGTGTGCTCGTCATCCCAGTGTTAGGGAGATGAAAATCAGGATATCCGAGTGAGGTTCACTGGCAGGGCAGCCTAGCCAGGAAGAGACCCTGTCTCAAAAAACCAAGGTAGACAGAGCCTGAGGAGCAACCAACACAGCTGACTTCTGGCCTTGACATGCATGTGAACACATATGCATACACACCTATACACTCGTGTGTACCACCACATCAACACACACACACACAATCATTATGGTCACTAGTATAACTATAGCCTTTAGAAACAGGCCTTCCCATTAGGCAGAAATCATAACACCTAGCAAAGACTCAGAAAACATAAGTAGGTACAAGGCTTCATGGGTTATAGAGAGAGACAGAGAGAGAGAGAGAGAGAGAGAGAGAGAGAGAGAGAGANGAGAGAGAGAGAGAGAGGAGAGAGAGGAGAGAGAGAGAGAGAGCAGACTGAGGGGAAAGGAAGAGGGTATTCCCTGTGATGTAAATCCAAGGGGCTCTGGAAGTTTGGTGACCCTCTCCTAGAGTTGCAATGGCTATCAGAGGATGCCTCTCTGGGCCAAAAGAGGGGACCCAGGTGCTCATGTTAGCCCTACACTAAATTGCTGTGTGACCTTGAGCCTCCCTTGCCCCATTAGACAATGAGGACAATGTCCGGTTTCCAGGGTGTTGGGACAGGTGGACAGAAGGGATGACAAAGGTGAGGTGGGTGCAGGTGGCTAATGCTAGTTGGGTCTTCCTACAGACCGCGTGCTGGTCCACTGCGCCATGGGGGTAAGCCGCTCGGCCACCATTGTCCTGGCCTTCCTCATGATCTGCGAGAACATGACGCTGGTGGATGCCATCCAGACGGTGCAGGCCCACCGAGATATCTGCCCTAACTCGGGCTTTCTCCGACAACTCCAGGTTCTGGACAACAGGCTGAGGCGGGAAACGGGGCAGCTCTGACTCAGGGGGCGCCTGAAGCCCTGACCCCTCCATCCAGCGTGGTCCAACCTGACATGCCTGGCTCTGGGGATGACAGTCTCTGCTGTTTCCAGAGACACTGACATGTTACCATCAAGTCACGGCTCCACTGAGGCAGAGGCGGGGCTGGCTGGGTGGCACTTTGAGCAGGTGGAGTCCCTGACCCAATACAGAAATTCTTTATGCCGAAGAAAATTCAGTCTGTCTCTATAATAAAAGGTTCATCATAATAAAGGATGTGTGTGAGACAATGGCTTTATTGTCACGAAGGCCAGGAGCCTAAGGATGGCTTGCTGGTTCTGACTCAGCAGCCTGGTGGAGGGAGGAGCCTGAGGGTGTGACAAGGCTCCCTGAGGAGAGAGTGTAGGAGGGGATGAGTTAGTGATAGTGTTCTGTTTCAGGAGTAAGTGTGATGCGGCGCTGGGGACTGGGCAGTTTCTCCCTCATCCTGTCCCTTTCATACTCTCACCCATGGCTAAATTCCAAGGGTCACATCCTTTCTGGGCCAGGCCAAAATTCACTTTTGGGGGTCAGCAAGATGGCTCATCAAGTAAAAGTGTCTGTAGCGCGAGCCCTGACAACCTGAGATCAGTCTCCACCTTATAAAGGAGAGAATGGGCTCCGTGACGGTGTCTTCTGACCTCCACATTCGTGCCATGGCAGCATACACACCATAACACAGCATGCTGCACACAGAAATAGTAAAGCAAGAGAAGTTTACTTTAAAATAAAGCGACTTAAGGTCCAGTGCTACCAAACCTGAGGGCTTGAGTTCAGTCCCTGGGACCCACAGGCAGAGAGAGCGAAGCATCTCCCACTAACTGTCCTCTCACCGCCACACACTTACTGTGGCATGAATGCACTGCCTCCAAAACACAAGTGTACGAACACCAGTGAACAGTCTGAAAAACTCATTGAAAAACTCACTGCTGGTGCGGGGGCTGCAGTGCAGTGGCCCGCACTTGCCTGGTATACATAAACCTCTGGGTTTGATCCACGATGCCATGAATAACAAAGCAGCAAGCTTATGCCCTAACCTTGTGAATTCAAGGCCAGCCTAGATGACATAGTAGCTTCCAGGCCAGGGGCTAGGGATGTAGCTCAGGAGAGTGCTTGCCTAGTGTGCACAGGCTCTAGGTTTGGTCCTCATGTCTTAATTAAGGTTTCTATTGCTGTAAAGAGACACCGTGACCATGCAGCTCTTCTAAAGGAATATATGTAATTGGGGCTGGATTACAGTTTCTGAGGTTTAGCCCATTGTTGTCATGGCAAGGAGCATGGTGGCATGCAGGCAGACGTGGTGCTGGAGAGCTGGCTTAGAGCTCTACATCGGGATTGGTGGGCAGCAGGAAGAGAGAGCGGCACTGGGCCTGGCTTGAGCATTTGAAGTCTCAGAGCCTACCCCCAGTGACGCATTTCCTCTAAGGTCACACTCCAACAAGGCCACAGCTAAAAGTTTCACTTCCTATGCACTTATGCACCATTTTCATTCAAATCATCACATCCGGTATGACATAAACCATGTGTGCACATGTCTCAGCCATGTAATCCCAGCACTTGGAAGATAGAGGCAGAAATATCAGAAGTTCAAGGTCATCCCCAGTACTAGTGAGTTTGAGGCCAGCCTGGGCTACATGAGAAAAGGAAGAAGATAGGACAGAAAGATCCCCTTGGGTTCCTCACTGGTAAACAGCACAGTCCTGGCCTGGTTTTGAGGGTGAAATGATAAGTTTTTCCCCTCGTCTCTGGCTGTTCCCGCTTGTCCCATGCTTTCTCTGTCTGACCCTAACAAAGAGTATGAAGATTTCTCCAGGTTCTGGCCCCTTGCCTCCCTGATGCTCCTACATTTTTGTGTCAAATACCTGATAGAAGCTACTTAAAGAAGGACGTCATTATTATGGTTCGCAATTTCTGACAAAATTAATGGTAGCTCCATTTGTGGCAGCAGGAATGTGAGGCCGCTCACACTGTTTGCCCAGGAGTCAGAGAACTCAGTGAGGTGTTTGAACGGGAGCAGCCCACATAGGCTCATGTGTTTGAATGTTTGGTCCTGCTGCCCGAAGATCAGTATACAAAGCTCTCAGCTACTGCTCCAGCACCATGCCTGTCTGCTTCCTGCCGTGATGATCACGGACTAATCCTCTAAAACTATCAGCAAGCAAGCCCCCAGTTAACTGCTTTCTTTTATAAAAATGGCCTTGGTCACAGCAACAGCGCAGTGACTACAACATCAGGCCAGATGCAGAGATCTCAGGCTAAAATTAGAATGTAGACTATCAGCTGTAACACATCTCTGTGTCCCAAAAGCTCCCAAACCTCCCCAGACTGCACCTTCCGCTGAGATCCAAACATTCAAACAGATGAGCCTGGAGGGGACATTTCAGACTCAAACCATAGGAGCTGCCATCCTGGACGAGGTTCCTGAAACCCCTTCAGATACAGCTCCGTGCGTCCCTGGACCATCAGCTGTGGGTTTTATACCACTATGGCCTGGCCCCATAACAAAGGCCATGAAAGAGACCAGATCCTGCCATGTCTTGGGACTGGGTGGTCTCTGCTCCAGCTGCACTTGCATGCACTGTCTTTCAACCAGCTTGCCCGATACCCTCCCCCTATAAGGACCCTTGAATCCTTCAGAGTCCCCACCAAGACAGCAGAGCTCTTATGGTTTCCCTACCTTTTCCCAAGGCAGCCCTAGATTCTGAACTCCATCTACAGAGTCCCAGGAATGTGCCCTGCTGAAACCTGATCTCTAGGCCAAAGGGAAGGCTCTGTCCCAGCCTCCAGATGCCCTAGTCCAGGCAGCAGGGCAGACTGCCCACATGAACACACCAGGATGACTCTGGAGTCACTACTTTGGGTGTTGCTGACAGCATATGAGCCAGAAATAGCAACAAGGACTGAGTTGTCTGTCAGGAGAAGAACCTCTGGGCATTGGGGGTAAGTAGATTGGGCTGCTACCTAGGACTGTGTCTGATCTGGTTAATTCCAGACCCCACCAACTCCAGGTTGAACTGAAAACAGCTGTCTCTCCCTAGCGTTGGTGCAGCCGTATATGGTCTGGCCTAGATTCTGGGATGAAGCTGGGCACAGCAGCATGAGCCGTGTGCCGTGCTCCAGCTGGGATATAAAGCCCCTCTATACTAGGGCATCTGACAGCCATCTAGGACTGGGACCAAGTGTCCCAGAGATGTGACAGGGTCAGCTGGCAGCACTTGCCCTAGAGCCTGAACCCACATCCCATTCCGATTTCTTCCTCGGAGTCTCAGTTTGCTCATCTATAAAATGGGGTTGTGAATCCAGACCCGTCAAGCCAGAATACTTTTATGTAGATTATGAATTAAAAAAGAAATCAAGGGAATTGAAAGTCTAGCCCAGGCCACCCTGCCAGGTACCCTGACTTAGGGCACTGTCCACTGAGGGGGAAGGGGCACATTTTCTTTCAAGCATTGCTCAACAGTGCTTCTGTCCACGAATGTAGTTGGGGTGGACAGCTACCTTGTCCAGTTTGCACAGAGGGGACCCACTCACCCGAGAAGGCATCATTTCCCAATCCCCCAGGGTTCACTACATGCTGTATAGACATCCATTCCTTCCTAAGAATTAGCCTTAGGCCATCCTGTTATTTCCCCTTCCCAGGCAAATATTTAAGTTTATTTGTTTGTTTGTCTGTGTGGTGTTGCAGCTAGAACTCGGGCCTTACAACATGCCAGGTGAAGGCTTGGCTGCCGAGCTGCGTTTCAGCTCAAAGCCCCCGAGATTTGACTGGGATGGATTCAAGGTTCTGGACACAACTCAACTATTATGGGTTGGCTAATTCTTATCCCAGAGCCAAAATCTCCATGGTAATTGGGAACAGTCCCACTGTCTGTGAGACAGGTGTTCGCTTTGTCCTACAGGGCTCGAGGGCAATCAGCATATCATATGACAGTTTCATCTAGTCTTCTTCTCTTGGTGTCAAAGTTGGCCTCTTCCAAAAAACGTTCCTTAGAGTCTCCTGGCTCCTCTGGGCAGCCCTCACTCATAAAGGGGCCATTTCTGGACAGTGGGTTCACCTGAGGCCGACCCTGACACCCTGTTTTACGGCATGCTGGAGCAGGGACTGGACACAGGCTGGGGCCTTGGCGTGTGGGAATGTCAGCTGCATGCGCAGGTGGAGTCCAGCCCCAGTGGACTGCTAATTTTCAGTAGAGATGTCTTCATCTGTCCAATGAACTAAGGCAATTACCGAGACTCTAAAGAATAGCAGTGGCTAGTATGTCTTCAAGTCGAGAACCCCGAATGAACTGTGTTGTTTAATCCACAAAAATTGCCTCCCATGCTTATTTCCAGGCTACAGATGAGGGGATGGCTTGTAGTCAGGGCGCCCATAGCGGCTTAGAGCTAAGCGGCAGAGACTGGAGTTGAACCATTTCCTTGTGTTTGGAGAGCACATGCCCTTTACTCCCGTGCCCTCCAGTCTGTGTCACACAAGCAAGCTCCCCGTTGAGCTCCGTCGGTGTCACTGTGGCAGTAACAGGCGGTGAAGGAAGACAGCCATCTATCTGCAAAATCAACTAGCCCTGGAGTGAAGACAGGTGCTAATGGAGACACAATTGACTGATTTGCTTGCGAACACTGACAGGCTGGAGAGGGGCTCGAAAGGCACCGGTCCTTTTGGAGATGGGATAGTTTAGAAAGGGCCGTGTGTAGAGCCAGGACCCTGGCCCCCCTCAATAGAAAGCTCACAGCAGGCATTCCCAGTGTTTTGACAGCCACGGCGATAAACAGTGGTATCGATTTCAGAGAAACATCCCCGGTCCTTAGACCTGCTCTCCAAACACATGTCCTCACATAGCTCACCCATCAAAGTCAAGAGTGACAGCGCTACAGAGACAAGGGCTGGCCAGCGGCCACGGCTCCCGGGCAGCCCACAAGGACTTCCAAAGCACGGAACAGGGTTAGCAGGGAGCCTTCTTGTGGAGGAGAGGGACAAATGGAAGCTCCAGCCTAAGCTCCTGTCACCAGGCTGTTGTGTTCTAGTCTCAGGATCTAGACCAGCCCAGTGGGGCTGCTGAGCTCTCGAAACTGCTCTAAACTGAAATGGGCTGTAATACTCAAACTTTTATATACATCAAAGGCTTACTATGGCACCAAATAACTGCTCTAACAAATTTTCATTCTGATTACGTGTTGAAATGATAATACCTGGAATATATTCTGTTAAATGAAATATCCAAATTAATTTC